TTATTATTATTATTTAGGACGTTAAGTTTGTTTGACATGATACGACTTTTATTTTGACGGGGTACGGACAGGGAATGTCAAATTAAAAGCTCGTTTGTTGCCAATTTCTCTTTCGTTTATGCCTGTGGCTGCACATAAGGTGCCACAGTAAAAGTAATGATGCAAACACAGATCTTATATAAACTTTATACAGCTTCATTTTTTAAAATTAAATGTGTCCTTTTAAATAACTTTACCATCACTTCACTTCAGTACAGAGATTTGGGCATTGTCCAGCAAGATGAGGAGGACTTTGTGGACATATTGGAGGAGAGGAGGCTCTCYAGTGACCTTGGCTTTGCCTTCAGGACCTTCAGCCCCCCGCCTCACAAAGGCCCCCCACCCTGCACCAACGCTGAGCTTCACCGAGCTGTGCTGGACTCTCAGTATCTGCGCTAYGTGACCAAAGAGGTCCAGCCTTTTTTCAAAGACGCAGCTTTACGCTGTGGCGACGTCAACAACCGATCTTAACTCTCCATCATTTTCCTCCTCAGGTCGCCAMTGAAACGGGGACRTCCGAGCAGGACGTGAGACAAAAAGTCTGCGGGATTTTGGAGGAAATGTCTCAAAATCTGCAGCTGCGCTTCATCAGGCTGATGGGCTACACAGTGTTGAAAGTGTTCAAGAGAGTTTTCAGTGCCATTTATGTCAACATGGAAGGACTCAGCGCGGTCAGTTCAGTACAGTGCATCACARTAATCATATCTTATATGTTTAATTTCAGCTTTTTAAATAAAAAAATACCGGTAGTCATATTTTAAAAAGAAACAAACGCTTTCTTTGAGATATGAACATTTCCCCTTGCTGTAGCTCCAACAAGCCGCTCAGGAGCATCCGGTGATCYTGATGCCCAATCACAGGAGCTACATCGACTTCCTGGTCGTCTCCTACATTTTGTTCAGCTACGACATCCCTGTGCCTGTCATCGCTGCGGGAATTCGCAAGTATCTATTTGACTTTGGAACAGCTACCATTAGAATCACTCAAATAATCGAAACCAGGACTATTCAACTGGAGGCCCGCGGGCCACATCAGGCCCACTGGTGACCAAAATCCGGCCCACCAAYTGATTCATTAATGTCTTCAGCCCAAATTCCTGTTTTTGAAACTTTAATTACTATGTTCTTTAAGTTAGACATAGACATGTGTGGTATCCACAGAAATGGCAGGACCTTGGCTAAAAGCTGGTAAAAACCATTACTATGAAACTTCAAGACAGTTAAAACTGCAAGTTGTAGAAAAAAGTAGGATACGTAGAAATAAAATTAGTTTAAAATGTGGCAAGTTAAATATGTCAAAAAAATGTTTGTGTCAAGTAGGAGACAGTGTTTTGTTTTTTATATTGTTTTAATATCACTATTTTATTACATACATAACTTATGTTGTATTTACGATTAAATGCAGCAAAATAAACTAATTCAAAGGGAACAGATCTTTGTAATACTTGGTTTATTTACATAATGTCTTTAATTGCTGGATGTTCGGCCCCTCAGGTGATGGCCTGCAGTAACTGTGGCCCCCAGAGAGCTTTAGTTGAACAGCGCTCATCTAAACGCAGACGCTCAATTTTTTATTTATGTTTTTTTTGCTATTTTCACTTTAAAGCTCTTGCAGGGATGAAGATCGTCGGGGAGATACTGCGACGCTCCGGAGCRTTTTTTATCCGACGTGCCATCGGTTCTGACAGACTCTACTGGGCCGTGCTGTCAGAATACGTTAGAACTATTGTCAGAGTACGATACCAAATGATCTAACACAGCAGCTGTTTAAATGTTAAACTGTTATTATTATGTAGGAGTCTATTTTATAGKTTTTTTTCAAAGAATGTTTCATTGTTTTACTTTTTTGTTTCCGTAGAAAGGATTTGCTCCTCTAGAGTTTTATGTGGAGGGATTCAGAAGTCGAACGCTGAAATCCGTCCCACCAAAGTTAGGTAGGTGTTATTTTTGAGCTTTTGCTAAAAAAATTTTTTCCTTTACTTTTCGAAACTGTGCAGAGCACAAAATCTTTCCTAGAGGAGATGTTTTGACTTTTTAATTGACTAAATTTTGTCCGAACAGATAAGCAGGATTGTCAGCCTTCAAAGCCACAATTAAATGTTTTTTTTTCTTTCACTATAGTTCAAGGGTTGTAGGTGCTTTTGTTGTACCTTACATCTTAGAAAACACATTTGACAGTATTCACGGGCTGAAAAATAACCAAACAAGTTTCAAATATGGAGAACGTCTGTTTCCTCATAACCTTTACATTTCTGTATGTGTTCATGTGTGCCTGCAGGTATGATGCACATGGTGCTGGAGCCCTTCTTTAAAGGGGAGGTGTACGACGTCACGTTGTTGCCCATCAGTATCAGCTACGACCGAGTACTGGAGGAGTCGCTGCTCACACGCGAGTTGCTGGGAATCCCCAAGCCCAGAGAAAGCACCTCGGTACTTCAACTAAAAAAAAAGCTTTTTTAAAACAAATGTTTCTAGTTTTCGGTGTGCTGAAAAAAGCTAAAGTAACAACTGGTTCTTTAAAAGTGAAATAGATGTTTACTCACTGAGAAAAGCTATCAGTGTTTTAGGGATGGCCTAGTTTATTTTACACTGATAACAGTTTGTGCCCACGTAGACAGCAGGTGTCAACATGACCATATCTTATCACTTAACACTGATTCACAAGATAAAATCAAAGCTTTTGTATCCGTAAACAATAACATTTAGATCTTATTAAGAGTTATTTAGAGGAATCATCCATAAATTAATTTGGTCTTTTTTTTTATTTGTAGTCTCATTGTTTGTTTGTTTGTTTTTTGCAGGGTTTGCTGAAGGCCAGCAGAGTTCTGCAGGAGAATTACGGCAGCATGCACGTGAACTTTGGTCGTCCCTTGTCGGTCCGACAGCTGTGTGAGGGCAAGATAAACCGCAGCCAGTACAACCTCAGACCCAGGTAGGGCGAAACCAGTGTTGCATAAAGTACCACAAGGTGATACTTCAGTAAAAGTACAAGTATCTTACCCAAAAATTACTTTGCTAAAAGTTAAAGTCTCCTTTAGGAATATTACTTGAGTAAAAGTCTTAAAGTATCTGATATTTTTAGTACTTAAATGTTTAAAGTAAAAATACTGATTCAAAATGAGCAGTTAGATTTTCTGTAACGACATTTATTAGGAGGAGACCTCCCTCCAAAAAAAATGCAGAAATTACTATATATTGTATTAAAATAATGAATTTATGTTAAATTTAGGATGCACTAGTCTAGCTTTTTCAGTTTATATACAAATAACAAGGGTGACCAAACATTTTCTAAAATGAAAGTCTATCTGAGGGCTGCAGCCAAATGCAATAATATAATTAATTAAAAACAAATACTTCTTAAGTATAGTCCTTTTTATTTTAATGATTATGTCCTGCTGGAGTGACATGATTTGTTTGTGTACAAACTAAAACGGTATCAGAACTTTATATATTTATACTTCTCATCCAACCACAATTAAATTCACTCTATCTAGGAGGCACAATTTACATTATATTATAATTTATATACTTATATTATTATATTACTTATTTAGTTTTTTACAATAACAAGCTGGAATGAAATAAAAGTAACAACTTTTTACTTCTTGCCTTTTTTAAAAAATGTAAGGAGTAGAAAGTAATTGTGTGAAAATGTAAGAAGTAGAAGTATAAAGTAGGCTGAAAAATAATTACTCAAGTACAGATGCCCAAAAATTCTACTTAAGTACAGTAACAAAGTATTTTATTACTCTGGGCGAAACGCCTACCTGGAGGACAAAAAAAAAGTGTGTGTGTGTGTGCGTGGGGGTGTAGGGGGGGTGTAAACCATTTTTGTTTGTTTTAAACTCAAATAATTTGCATTAATTATGAACAAGTATTTATCAAACTGATTTTCCTCATATGTTTTCTCAGGGATCTTCCTCAGAAGCCCGGTCCGGAAGAGCAGGCCTGTGTGAGCTGGCTGGCTCACCTGATGGTCCGGATCCAGGAGGAAGGCTCTCTGATCAGCCCCTGGTCCCTGATGTCCTGCCTGCTGGTCCAAGTCCCCCCCTCAGTCTTAATCGAGGAGGGCCTGCTGTGGCACCAGCTCACAGAAAAAACCCTCTGGCTCAAGAAGCTGGCGCTGGACTTTGGAGCTCATCTAAACTGGCCTGGTGGGTTTGCCCTAATTTTACACAATAACCACCAATACTGTTATCAGTGTGCATTGCCAATGCAATGCACACTGTTGTGATTCGTTTCTCATCCAAGTAATCTCCACTTTGGCACGCTTCTCCTCCTGCATACTTTGTCCTAGAGCTGCCATTGTAATTTATATTTGTAAAGCTCCTGTGCCAAATGATGGCTATGACCTTTGGTGCTTGTACAACTTATATTTTTTGGAAATATTAATGTTTAATAATTTATAATGGGAGTCAATGGAGCCTTGTATTGGTCCAATACTGCCCCTGCTGTATGTACTCAGTATTGCACCATAGTTTAATATTATTTAATCTCAATAGTTCAGTGTTTACAATACTAATATGATTGTATTTTGATGTTTTATTATAATATTGTCCTAATATTGCTTTATTGTTGTAATATTTTTCAATTTAGTGACAACCATTACATTGGCAATGTGGCCACTTTCTGCACACATACAAACCAAACCCTGGCCTCATTCTCTACCACAGCTCTAATGGTCTCATGGTTAGTGCCATGGGCTTTCATGTAGGAGATCAGGGTTTGAAACCCGGTAACTTTAACAGAAAATCTCTACAAACTTCATATTGTCACACAATTACCCTTATTACAAACACCTGCTGACTTGACAAGCACAAGCTGGTATAGAAAACACATTTGAACTTGGTCACATTTCATTCTGCAAGTCCACTGCTGCAGTAAAGACATGCTACAAGGCAATGCACACTTGTTTTTACATCGTAAAAACCCATGTCTAGTTTTCAATTAAACTGCTCTCAAGGTTAGGATTAAAATTGAGAACAAAAACTGAGATTTTGTGACTCGTTTTCATTCGGCCAGTAGGTGGCACTTGATTTTAGTTTTCTGAGGAAAGCAGAGCAGTTTTCGTCCCTTCAGTGAGCGTCACACCTTCAGGACAGTAAGGCTCAGAAGTAGATCAGACAGATTAGATGAATGTGAGTTGGCACAAGCGCTCACGCTCACTCAGGACACGTTCAGTGGATTAAACACACTTTAAGTAACTTACCTCGAGAGCCCCTCTTCCTTGAACGGTCTCACTTCACAAGTCTCCTACCTCCAGGCACATAAATATGGGATAAATCTTGTGCCAGCAGGAACTGAATTTGAATTGCTCAGATTGAATCTGAATGTGCATAATTTGAAACTGAATGCATTGGTTTGAAAAGGAATTTCACTAAATTGAATCTGAATTAAATGGTTTGAGTTAGAATTAATTTGTTTGAAACTGTATTTTGGTCTTTTAAAAATTCAGTTTGACTACTTTCACTTTCACTTCCATAATTCAGATTTTTGTGTCACACATCCTGGTCCTTGAGAAAGCCAGCCAGAGTAATCAAACACAGATCCACAGATTTATGTTTCACTTTGGTGAAGTTTCCCTTCTGTAATGTAACAGAGTTGATGCAATCCACTGTAAAAGTGACAAAAACAGACAAATTTATTTTATTGCAGTGATTAATTTTACCTATATATAGAAAAAGTTACATTTACATCACATCATGGATCACATATTGATCAGATGCTGCTGCTGACTGATCCATGATGTGATGTAAATGTAACATTATCTATAGGTAAAATTAACCACTGCAATAAAATAACTGTCTGTTTTTGTCACTTTTACAGTGGATTGCATCAACTCTGTTACATTAGACAGGAAATTTCACCAAAGTGAAACATAAATCTGTGGATCTGTGTTTGATTACTCTGGCTGGCTTTCTCAAGGACCAGGATGTGTGACACAAAAAATCTGAATTTTGGAACTGAAAGTGAAAGTAGTCAAACTGAATTTTTAATAAACCAAAATACAGTTTAAAAGCAAATTAATTCAGATACAAAACTTTAAATTCAGTTTCAATTTAGTGAAATTCATTTTCAAACCAATACATCCAGATTCAATTTGAGCAATTTAAATTCAGTTCCTGCTGGCACAGGACTTATCCCGTACATAAACACATTTCCCTTTGATCTCTCTTGAGTATAAATAATGCGCATGTTGCTGTTTTGCAGAACACCTCCCCGATTCCGACGTGCTGTCCTCCGCCGCGGCGCTTCATCGCTCCGTCCTCCATCGCAAAGCGGGGCGCGTCCACCTGGTTCTGGAGGGGGAACCCGAGCGAACGCGTCCGGTTGGCCCGGAGGAGGGCGTGACGAGGACGGCGGTCGCGGCTCTGATGCTGGCTGCGTATCGCAACCAGTCCCTGCACGTTTTCACGCGTCCAGCCTTGCTGGCGACGGCCGTGAGCGTCACAAAAAGCACGCAGAGAGGTGAGGGTCGGTTGCAGTGGGAGGTACACGTGACGAAACCTTACTAAGATCCTTCCCCCCGCCCCCTCTCTCCACAGATGAGCTCCAGGCCTACTTCTGCTTCCTGCAGGATGTTTTTTCAAACGAGTTCATTTTCGTTCCTGGCAGATCATCTCAGGTAACACCCGCGTCAGCCCTGAGCTCAGTCTAACATTTCTTTATTTTTTTTCTGAATCAAATATTACTTTTAACTCCTTTTTTCTCACAGCTCCACCCCAGCACAAATGATCAGTTACCAGCTGCGCTTTACTACAAACAACTCATTGAGTTTCAGTAACGTGGTACATTTAAAGTGGGGGGTGTTATGTATTTGTAACCTCCTACCATTTCTGACATTCCCACTCAATACGTTTTCAAACAATGGGCCTCATGCAAGAACCGTTCGTACGCACAGATTTGTTCTTAAATTGTGCGTACGAGTGATTTACGAGAATTTGTGGCATTCACCAATGTTTTTGTATTCTACGATTTTTTTCAGATACGAACAAAATTTACGAGTG